ACCGCCTTCAACACACAAAAATATTAATTTGTTAGGTAATTCGTCGGTTGATGGGCGTGGACGACGGCGTTTAAAACAGACGGAAATCGTAGGATTTTCACGAAATAAGCTATTTAACGAAAATAGATAAAATGGATTATTTTATCGTTCAAAAAGTAAGATTTACCACGTGTTCGGCGGTGAAGGAAAACAACGTGAGGAAACGTGCATGTCTGAGAAATAAGAACAAAATTATTTCGAAGACATGTGAAGTTCGCCAACACGCTCTGACACTTCCTTGCCCTAAAACCCTCTCAGAAATAATAAGAGGCCTGCGCCCCACTGTATATTGGTCCAAGTATAATTAAAGTATAAGTATTAAGTAAATTGTTTCTTTTAAAGACCATGGAAAAGCAACCCGTATAGAGATTTTCTTGGCTTAGGAGTATACATGTAGGTTCCTATCATAATATCAGGTGCGGTATTGGAATGCATCCAAAAATAGAAAGAAAATAGCACTATGTTATAATTAATTATTGTTAACCATTGAGTTATATGTACTACGTACTAGAGAAGGCATTCCAAACAAAAATTGTGTCCTACTCTATGTCTTCGCGCATGCGCGGGAGATAGTAGAGTCGCGTATGCGCGAAGACTTTAATTTAATATAAAATAAGATATTAATATAAAATAAATATAAGAATTTAATATAAAATATCTTAATTTAATCTAAAGAAACATATTTCTAAATAAAATGTAATAATAATAATTTTATGGAATTCACAAATCTTCAATTTACGTAATATTTAGTTTGTATGAACTGCAGTACAGTTCAGTTGAACATAGTCAATGTTCGGAATGGCTTCTCTAGTACGTAGTACATATAACTCAATGCTGTTAACTGACAATTCCATAAAACAATCATCAAAACTATACCAAGCTTCGCTGTGAGGTGTTAAGAGCAGAAAATTATTTGTTTAAATGGTTAAAATATTATTTATCGGCATTATTACGATTAAATCGATTTGGCAATAATTTGTTTTTATGGGCATGGATTTCCATCGTACGATTTGTTGTAATTGCCATTTTTTATAGAAAATCGCCGGTCAGTACCAAGCGTCTTGTAACTTTTGACGCTGATATCAAATTAGTCACTTTTTACCCGACTGCCCTAGAAGGAAGATAATGTTGCTTAACTCGCCGGTATAGCCTCCAGTTTGTTCAACGAATTTTATTATCTCGATTGGCCAAAACGGGAACCACGAGTATCGCTCGCCGGTGCATCAGCACACTTCAAGTCCACGAAATATTATGTTATGCAAACACTTATAGTGCCAGATAGTATTGTTCATTGACCGTTTGCAACTCATGTTTAAAATTCATGCACTAAACCTATATAAGTCGAAAAAATAATGGGCATCATTTTGAATTTTGATCAATTTTGACGTTGTTATTTCAGACGACTCTCTCCATTCTGAAGAGTGTTGGCTCGTTTACATAAATAACTTATAGATACATGCAACTAAATATGTCGCGTTCCATGAATTTAAGATTAAAACTGACGTAAGAGGAAAAGTTTTTGTACAAAATTTTGAACTTGTAATAAGTTGAGAGGCGATATATCTCATTGCCAAATTATCCAATAAAACTAACAAACGGACCCTTTTTACTAGAAACGAGGCAGTCCATCTTAGACTTTAGGGGTTGCAACGCTCTGCATTTTGATTCCGTTCCGATAGGCGTAGATATCTATGGGCCACAGCATCCATTTACCATAAGGTGGAGTGCGTGCCCGTTTGTCAAATTATTCTATAAAAAAAAATACGGACCCGTGAGAGATCTTGAGGTCATGTGCCCTCTTAAGCTGGAATGGCGTCTATAATACCACATTTTCCTTTACTTTAGAGATAGATTTCAATAATGAGATGCTGAAGAGGTTTAAGGTCTTACGAAACGAGGCTCGGCTCTTGTTTACCAGGGACTATATATTGCAATTCCCGGTATTTTAAACAGAAATTAGGCATGTTTGTCCGTTCTTTTGTAAGCTTCTGTAGTCTAAATGGCGCGACAGATTTTATAAGGTTGTCATTAGATTAGTTTTTATCTCCGAAGTGTCACTCTGACAAAGCAAATTTATGTTGCAGAAGTGAACGGCAGAGTCAGGAAGGGACGCCCTGGACGAAGGTTTATCGACCAAAACGGCGATACATTGACAATGGGCCGGATTAGGAGTACCCTTAACCGACGAGCGTGTATGTGTAGATATATGGATTTAAAGGAGCCGACAGAGGTGTGTCAGGATCACCACAAATGGAAGTCCGTAGTCTCTGCCTACCCCTCTGGGTGACAGGCGTGAATGTTTGTATGTTGTGTGTCACTCGCTTTATTTCACGGTGTTAACTAGAATAAATAAGACGCTCGTAAACGTTAAGTTAAAAGTTATTTAGATTTAAGATATAATTAAAGACCATTTCCTTTATTAAATTTTCAGACAAATAATAGCCTAGATCCCCCCTGGTAATGTCCTCCATCTGTTCATAAAGTTTCATCACAATCGGTTCAGCCATTCCGAAGATCACCCACAGGAAGACAGACCGACAGATAAGACAAAATTTTTATAATTTAAAATTAAAAATTTTGTACAGCCGACTGCAATATAAATTATTAAGAATAACTCAAAAACTATTGGTCTGACCTTGATCAAATTCATATGGGACCACATGAGAAGCTCCAGCTTTCCAATAAAAAAAGAATCATCGAAATCGGTTCACCCAGTAAAAAGTTACGAGGTAACACACATCAAAAAAACATACAGTCGAATTGAGTACCGTCTCCTTTTTGAAGTCTGCAGAAAAACGGTTGTTTATGTCTTAATAGCATGCAAATAAACCCCGGCGGTTAATAGAAGCCAGCTATTTCAATATTATAGTCATTTATATGTATATAACTACTTTTTTTTATAGATTAATTAAGAAGACTAAGATAGAATGCTTCCTCACCGTTAAAAGGCTGGTTCTCTACACTCATCATACGAAATAGCATCATTAAACACTTCTTTTTTACCCTGGTATTCTATAAGAGCGTGGTTCTTCCCCTTTCGAACTGACATATTTGTGTTATATACCCTAGCTCTACTTTAATAAATAGCTGTATCGTAGCTCTACCACGTTAAATATAATTGTCAAAATATTAAACTGTCAATGTTGGTCCAAATTTACAGGTGAGTTGACAGTTTATAATTAATAAAACTCTACGCGAAACTAACAATAAAAGGAACGATATAAGGAAAACGCCATTTAATTTTGTTGTGTGATCGCACTTGACATCATAAATAATAGAAGTGCGCGGGCAACAAAAAACGCAGAGTCCGCTCAGACTGTGCCCGTTAAACCGATTGTCACCATCGTTGCTATAATCGGTTTTTGTTACGCATGGTTTAACTAAGTCGCGTTATTGCTGTCTGTGCCGTAGACTCATTTTTTATTGTCCTAACAATGCCGTGAGTCAGTCAATTTTTTTATTAAAAAAATAGCCAAAAAAAGCGTGGAAGCTAAGCAAGTGTGTGACTGTGACGTTGCCCTCGTTGTCGATATAGATATTATGCATACGTATAATATCGATATGATTTTTATCGTTAAAGGTCAAAATTTCTGCTGATTAGTCTTTATTTCTAATAATCTACACGTGGTAGAGCCATGCTGCAGCTATTGAGCAATTTGATTCGTAGTCGAGGATAGATGTAGACGTATATGGGCCACAGCAACTACTTACCATCAGGTGGACTGTGTGCTTGATCGTCATCATAATCCTATAAAAAAAAACATCCACGGGATTAAATAGGGTGACAGATAATCTTTCGTCGACGTCGCACCGCGTTAGTGAAGAGATAAAAAAATGACATTTGATAAATGGAATTAAATTTTCTTACGTCTAAGGTCGAAGAAATAAATATATTATAATTAATAGAAGCATTACTTTGCGGAAATCCATTATATTAAAGATGTTAAAAATTAATAAGCCAAGATCCGCGTAATGTCATTAATGATATCTGTAAGGGTGCGTACAGATCAAGTAACATGTTGTATAACTTTTGTTTTATAACTCGTCAACATTATATAACATTGTTTTTCAACATTGCAACATATAACAATACTGTACATATTAGAATAACAATACAATATAACAATGTTATATGACATTGTCGTCTGTCGTAGCCCCGCGAGACGCCTCCGTCGCATCTCGAGTTATATAACATTCGTTTTATAACATTCTGCCTCATCATTACTGAAACATGTTATATAACAACGTTAAATAACATGTCATTTTATATAATGTGTACGCACCGTAATAAAATAATTAGAGGCGATAAAATAAGTAGCTAATGAGCGGTCAGCCAAGGCAGTCTATCTCACTAGATTCCTCGTTTAGAGGCGAAACACATGTATTATCGACGTGGAGTGTCTTTAGTGCTAGTGTAGCTAGTGTAGTGGTGTTGGGATTAGAGGCGAGTTGAATAGTACACGCAATCTAGGGAGCGCGGGAGATGCTCTTTAAGCTGAGTAAGACACATTATTTTTATTTTTTGTTTCCGCGGATATCAGCAAATCAACTTTTAACATCTTTAAAGAAATATATTTCATTTCAATAATGAACCAACTATAGATAAATCAAACTGAAGTAAGCCTGAGCCTGCTTTTTGTTACTGTTGCCTTAGGTTTGACCTAAGTGTAGCCTTTTGTAGGTAAGTCCTTTGGGTCGGGCCATTGCATAGGTACCATTGATAATCTGTGTTGAATTCGTGACATTTTCAAATTAATATTGTTTATTTTATTATATTAATTATCGACTACTACTTTGTATTTCTGCTATATTAATATATATTATATCATAATAATTTTCTTTACAATGTTTTATTTTAATACGTGTTTATTGAAATGATACAAAAAGGGAGAGAATTTAATGAAAACATGTAATATGAGTAATTGATTTATTCAAACAACATATAAATTGTACAAAATCACTCACTGAGAGTCACTATCACTGCCCGAGTAGTTTGCTAATAAAGAAAGTCCACCACCGCTATTCACGCTTGAGTTTACATTACTAATATTTTGTACATTGTTTGTACTAGTTTTAGGAATTTCAATTGCTTTATCGGCCTGTTTATCTTTTAAATCATCACAACTTTTTGGTGACTGTTCAGTTTTTTTCTTTACTAGATTGGCTAATAATGGCTTTTTAGCTATCACACCTATACTCCTATTCCATGATTCGTTTTTCTTTGCTTCCGAAGATTTTGCAGGTACTGTTTCTATCTTTATGCTTTTTATTACCGGTTCGTCTTCATCGTTGACTTCTTCTATGATTTCTTCGGCAACGACTTTATGTTTAGTTGCATGGTTAAATTTTACGGATCTGTAAGAGAAAAGATGATATTTATTCACGGAATGCCAGTAAGTATAATTAATTGTAGGTATTCTTTAACGAAACTGCTAATAGTTCTATTTTATGAAAATTCTTATCTTCTTATTGTCATGATATTGATATATGACACATGTGATACTTTGCGTAAAGAAGTAATAATAATAAATATTTTATTGTCAAAAATATATTACAAAAGTTTATGAAGTCTCTGGCTCCTAAATTAGACGAGTCTGTATCTTAGGAGTCAGCGGCACCTCCTAGAGTTATGACATAGGTATAGGTAACAGTTGAAAAAACTATACATCTTTTCGAAAGAAAAAAAAGAAAAGAAAAGATAAACAATTCCAAATTATTTCAGTATTTCGTTCGCTCACTTAATACGGTTACTTAGTTTGGTTCTGATAGACGTTAATTAATAGGTAAATTTTGGGAATTTTTTTCATCGTAGAACTGTTTAAGACCTACTGCTAAGTAAATGGGTCAGGTAGGCTAACGAAGAACTACGCTCTCTTTGAACATTAAAATCATTTTAAGTGCACTAAACACATACGAAATAAATTACTATCAACATAGCTTATTAAATAAAGCTATCTGGTAGAGGTTGATTTATTTACACTAATGTTTTGTGGTTCTTACTTAAAAAATTAAAATGGGTATTAAGTTACGCTTCTATTGATCATTTTATAAATGAGTCAAAACCTTTGAAGAGACCGGATGAAAATTGGAAAAATCGAAATCCGAGCGACCAAGGTCATCAAAAACGAACGAATCCGTGGAGAGTAAACGAAAAAACTGAAAGCTTTTTACGGAAGAAAAAACATATAAAGTCAAAACAGACCCCACACGTAATATGGTAGAAACAATTAGTGAAGAAAGAAACACTTGGAAAAATTAAATCTTCCGAAATTGTATCCAAAGTTGTATAAGTTACCTAAATACGTAAATCAAACACTCCATAACACCCAATAGTAAGCCAGATTGATTCGCCAACTTACAAATTGGCTCAACATTTAGTGAAAATACTGTCACCGTCAGGGGACACAGAAAGAATTCATATAATTTTTTTCATTGAGATAAGACTTACGTCTTATTGATAATTAAACAATGGTCAGTTTTGACGTTCACTATTTAAACGCCTCCAGGTCCTAGAAAAGAGTCATTGCCAAGGCAAAGTCAGAGCACATCGGCAGAATTGGCAAGAAACAAGTTCGCCTTCCTTCGGGAACATGTAAATTCTCGTCTCTCGCCAAGGCTGTCCAAGGGACTTCTGTCAGCCATTTCTTCCATCTCTGCACAGGGAGGACAACTCACTGACCCATGCCGCAAAGGATTTCCTCACTGCGGCATGAGCCAGTGAGTAGGCTCTCTTTTTACGTTCAACTACTCTCGATGAGGAGGGGAACACAACGCCGAACATCCCGCGGTGTGAAGGCTCCATGCCTTATGTGCGGTTTACACAGCGTTCAGTGCCCAAAGCACGTTTACACTCGAATTTTTAATGTCCAGGGAGAGGCCCTGGACGTCAACAAGTCGAGTGGGCCTGATGGAGTCCCTCTCATTGTGCTGACCGGTTCTAAGGCGTCTTCTTCGGTACTTCTACTTCCTATGTTCCTAGTCCCGAATTCGTGGAAGACAGCTTTGGTCCACATGATCGCTAAAAAAAAGCGACCGCTCAGATCCGTTCACTAAAAGCCTATCGCCATCACCACCTTGTTCTCCAAAATAATGGAATCCATTATAAACTGCCAGCTCTTGAGGTACATTGAGAACCACCAGGTAATTAGTGACCGCCAATACGTTTTTCGTCAGGGTCGATCAGTTGGTGATATTCTTGTTTACTTGACCCATAGATGGGCGGAGGCAGTAGAGTCCAAAGTGGGGGAGCCTTGGCCGTTAGTTTAATATAGCGAAGGCCTTCGATCGGATTTGGCACAAAGCGTTCCTTTCGGAGCTTTCTTCCTATGGACTTTCTGAGAAATTGTGCAATTGGATCACCAGTTTTCTTACAGGTCGGAGCATCAAGGCCGTTGTAAACAGTGCATGCTCCGATTACGAGTCTATTAATGCTGGTGTTCCGAAAGGCTGCGTGCTATCACCTACGCTCTTTCTTTTCCATACCAATGATATGTTGCAAACCATTAACATTGCGGATGACAGCACCGATGATGCTTTTTACATCGGCTGTGCCAATATTTCTGGGGATCACGTCGTCGAGTACTAGAACAAACTTGTGTCTAGAGTCGAGTTGTCGTTAAACATAGTCTCCGATTGTGGAAGACTAAATCTAGTTCAATTTAATTCTTAGAAGGCACAGGTTTGTGCGTTTACCACTAAAAAGAACCCCTTTGTCGTATATCTTCAATTAAAGAGCACTCCCCTTGCTGTACACTGAGGAATTGTTCCGATCTTTCCTCCTGATACAACCTCTTTGTGGAATCGTTTACCAGCGGCGGTTTTTCTTGACCGATTCGATTTATGGACCTTCAAGAAAAAATATTACATTTTTCTAAAAGGCCGGCAACGCACTTGCGATTCCCCTGGCATTACAGTTGTTCATTGTATGCGGTAGTCACTTACCATCAGGTGAGCGGCATGCTGGTTTGCCCCCTCTTCTATATAAAAAAGTACAGACCTATTTCCCTTCTAAGCCACTTATAAATGTTGTTTTCGAGAGTCATTACGAAGTGTCTCGCACGCAGGCTTGACGACTTCTAGCCTATCGAACAAGCCGATTCCTGAAAAGGTTTTAGTACCGTAGATAAAATGTACAGAAGACCGAAAAGTACACTCAGCCTCTTTCTTGCTTGTGAGGCCTATGAGAAAGCCTTTGACATAGTTACATAACATACACACTCACGCCCATCTTCAATATATCGCCAATTTGGTCGATAAAATTCCGTCTAGGGCATCCCCTTTGCCGACTCTTTTTTTAACTTTTTTTTAAACTTCTGCAACAGAAATTTGCTTTATCAATTATTTCTAATTCGTTATTTCTACATGACCAAACCGCCGATGTATAGATCATAAAATCATCTTGCAAATCACACTTCTTACCCTGTCATTCGGAGTTACCCCTAACATACTCTTTTAATTTTAATAACGTTAACCTAATGTACCAATATTGATTTAGTATTATTTACTTCGTCATATTTAAACAACCGTGTTTAACTTTAAAAATCAATGAAGTTTTATCTGCAAATAATACTATATCATGATTCTCCCCTAAAAGATAAGGTAAGTCATTAATATAGACTAGGAATAAGAGTGGCTCGAGAATGAGCCCTCTGGATCACCCATTAATACAGGTGACCCGAAAGAACTTTTACTATTGATAAAAACTTTCAGCGTTCTAATATGAAATAATTAGATTAAGAGCTATGAGTTTCCTCTTTGACGTCACACACAATCACACAGTGAACACAGTCTTGAAAAGGTCATAAAATATATCCAAAGCAATTTCTGATGTCTCCCATGCACAGAAAATATGTTCAATCTGCTCAACATCGGCGTCAGTTGTCAAACGACGCCTTGTAAAACCCAAATGATTTTTATGCAGTAATATGTTCTTAGTAAAAAATAAAAACTTATCATTTGACAAATTTGATTTCAAAATAAAAACTTAAAATTATTTTTTTAAAAGTTTACTTCTTAAATGTTGATAGTATACAGAAATTGGTCTAAAATTGACGAGGTCTATAATATACTATCGGTTTTAAATAAAGTTATTATGTGTATGTGTGTATTATGGAAGCGATAACTTTCATGGAAATCCCTCTAAAGTCTGCGGTTTTCTTAACATTGGTGGTTTTAAAACATTTAACGAAATTTTTAAATAAACTGATAAATTCGGGGGATAATGGAGAGGGATATGCTCGAGTTTCTCTGCGTGACATAATTCAAAATGAGGATATCCGTAGTAACGACCAAAGTAATCAACATAGCCTATCGGATCAAGCAGCTGAAGTAACAATGGGCCGGCCATATAACTCGAAGAACCGACAACCGATAGAGAATGACGTTCTCTAGTGGCAGTTTCGAACCGGTAAGCAAAGTGTGGGGTAGGCCACTATACACTAGTTGGAGTGATGACCTGGTAAATCATGTAGTAAGGTCTTGGATGCTGGTGGCTCTGAGGGTTCATTAAGATTAAACATTATTAGAATCAAGTGTCTTACTAGTGTCGAGACAGTTATTGTCATTACATAATGTCTTACGGGGTTTCGCTTTGGGGAAATGCAGCTGATTTAGAAACTAGTTTTGTTTTGCAGAAGAGGGCCGTAAGATTAATATAAATGATGTTTCTTATCTAGAGAGAGCAATTCCCACCCTATCTCGATTGAGTGTACTATCCCCGTCATCACTACACTAGAAAAGACATATACTAGACACTATCGGTAATACGACAAGTGTTTCGCCTCAACACGGGGCACCCTTATGTGATGTAGACTCCGCGGTGGATGACCGCTAAAACGGGTATTAAACTACACTGAATCAGGACACTGAATTGAGGGTGGGCGTGGCCCTTAATTAGAGACGTCGGACATTACTTTACACCGCACTGATTTTACGCTCTTACTCAGTCAGAGAGCGAATTTTGGAGTGCCTGGATGTCATACCACTTACATTTTTTTATAGAATACCGGTGACAAACGAGCACACAGTCCATCTGATGGTAAGTGGATGCTGTTACCCATAGATTTATACTCGATTAAGAATCATGACAACCTGAGAATTATGATAGAAAGCCTCGTTTTCAGTAAAAAGGGTATTCGGTTCTCTACACTCACCATACGAAACACAGCAACATTAAGCTATTTTACGCTGCTATTCTGTGAGAGCGTAGTCCTACTCCGGTCGAGCTGACCCATTCGTGTTACAACCATAATATAGCTGCAGTGTGGCTCTACCGAGTAAAATATATAATCTAAACAAAAAAAGTCGCTATTGCAATGGCTGTCACAAATGTACAAGACACTTTAAAACCTTCATTTCTTGTCTTTATTCATATAATCCTTGTGGTCTTTCTTCCGCAAATAAGATGTACAAATCTAATACAGACTATAATAACAATTCTTTTTCTTTGTTGGAAAAGACAGAAATACTCCCACTACTGCTCTCCGAGCTCGCCGCACATCATATATGTGCCCTAATTTCCCTAAGTATTACTACACTGCACGGTGGTAAGGCGGACCTGGTCTACTCTGACGCCCTAATTAGGGACCCTTATTGCCTTACTCTATCTCTTATTAAGGGTTTGGGGACCCTGATTTAGTGTAGTGTAAAACAGCTGCTATTTTTTATACAACTTGCTGCCGCAACCTCTCTCCACTTAAGTAGTGGGCGACTACGTCACGCGATAAAACATGCGACCAATCACCACCTGACGTACGCAGCCATTTACTGTAAAATGAATAACAAACCGCTGCGAAATGCCCGCTTACTCTCCAACCGCGCAACCGATCGCTGGCCACCGTGAAGTTGACCAACGACCACATTGCGAGGCTGTATGTTATTAGGAAGCAGGTTTAAAGATGTTTAAGAGAGGTAAGTAAGAAACATTTGTTTTTTCATTCAGTAGTGCTATTTTTTCAGTTATGGAACCTAAGTATATCAAACTGCTCACATATTGACGGACAATGAGGTTTAACTCCGTACAAAGAATTGCAAAAGACATGGTTTTTTTTCTTTTTAATTAAATAGTCAATCTGATTTTTTGAAAAACTGTTAGGGACTGCAATTTGATAAATAACATTAAGCTTTTTTAAATAATTATCTTCACTTAATGAGACAGTAAGCAAACGATTAATGTGACAATAAAAACTGGCTAATTTATGTTACCACTGATGACTCGATTACGCGGGGAGAACCGTGTCGGTACGAGGGCGACACTGAAAGTTTTTAGAACTGGCCAACTGGCCACTTGTAAACGATATAATAAAAAAATAAGTTTAAATTTTGAAAATGGAAATCTTTGGCAATATTATTGTGTATGTATTTTATTTTTGTCATTTGTTTTTTTTTTAAGGACAGGGTGACAAACGAGCACACAGTCCACCTGATGGTAAGTGGTTGCTGTGGCCCATAGACATCTACATTTATGCTCGTTTGCGAATCAAAATGCAGATGCGTTGTCATCCGTGAGGACTAAGATAGAATGCCTCTTTTCCAGTAAAAAGGGTCTCCGGTTCTCTACAGTCACCATACGAAACATAGCAGCATGAAGCTGCTATTTGACACTGGTATTCTGTGAGAGCGTGGTCCTTCCCCGGTCGAGCCGACCCATTCGTGCTACAACTATACTATTTTTTTTTATAGGATAGGGTGACAAACGAGCACACAGTCCACCTAATGGTAAGTGGTTGCTGTGGCCCATAGACATCTACATTTATCCTCGTTTGCGAATCAAAATGCAGATGCGTTGTCATGCGTGAGGACTAAGATAGAATGTCTCTTTTCCAGTAAAAAGGGTCTCCGGTTCTCTACACTCACCATACGAAACACAGCAGCATTAAGCTGCTATTTCACGCTGGTATTCTGTGAGAGCGTGGTCCTTCCCCGGTCGAGCCGACCCATTCGTGCTACAACTATACTACTAATATAGCTCCAGCATGGGTCTACCACGTAAAAATGTTTACGATTTGGCGGCAAATTGAAAATTGTCTGTGTCACTTCAGCATGAATTTAACGCGAGAAACTTTTCATACAATGTTTTTTTATGACTTTCGATGTCATTTAAGTCAACAAGAAGGTTATGAATAGACTTCGATTGGCCTTTCACGATGAAGCCCCATCTCGTGCCACTGTTTACAACTGGTTTAATGAGTTTAAACGTGGTCGCACTAATCCCACCGATGAACTGCGTGAGGGACGCCTTCTACGGTGATGACTGAATATAACCTCAGTGTTGTGCGGCATATCATAGAGACTGAAAACAGTGACTTATCAGCAGATTTAGACAAGCTTAGGCATCGGTATGAGTCAAATGCACAACATTCTCAATGAACATTTAACGGTCTGGAAGCTTTGTGTCCGGTGGATACCTCATAATTTAACAGGTCCGGTGGATACCTCATAATTTAACAGAGGCCCAAAAACTCCGTTGTGTTGATTGGTGTCGTGAAATGGTTCAAAAATTTAACAGACGTGACTCAAATGCTGTGTTTGACATAATTACGGGTGACGAAAGCTGGATTTATTGTTGTAATCCTGAAACTGAGGGACAGTCTGCTGTCTGGGTGTTTACTTCCGAGGAGTTGCCAACTAAAGTGAAGAGAGGTCGAAGCGTGGGAAAAAAGATAGTGGCCTCGTTCTTCGGAAGGACAGGTCATTATGTAACAATTGTTTTAGAGGATCGAAAAACAGTTATTGCGGAGTGACTAACAATTGGTCGTGTCTTGGAAAAAGTTCGGGAGAAACGACCTCGCAGTAGGATCCTCCTTCACCACGCCAATGCCTAGTCGCACACCGCCAAGCAAATAATTGATTACTTTGCGACGTCAGACGTGGAATTACTGGGTCATACACCCTATTCGCACCTAGCCCCGACTTCGCATCTTGCGATTTTTATTTATTTCCAAAAATAAAAGAAAAACTTCGAGGAAAACGTTTTATGGACGCCGAGGAAGCAGTGGCTGCGTTTCAAAATGTCGTCAAAGAGACCCCTAAGGACGAGTGGGCAAAGTGCTTTTCTCAGTGGTTCCATCGGATGCAGCGATGTATTGTTGAAAATGGACACTATTTTGAAAAGATATAATAAAACTAATAACATGCTAGTTTGTTCAGTTTTTGATTTTCTAAGAACTTTCAGTGTCATGCTCTGATAAATTTATTTTCTTGTTATTAGGAAATTAAAGGCACAATCTTGATCCAATTCAAGCTTAAATTTAATTTTGTTGTGGATTCTATTTACTCTATAGAAAAATATTCAGTCGCCTCCTTGTGCCAGTCCAGCAAATTATTATGTCATCTACTCGTACATATCGATAATAGTATAAGATATTTCGATTGACAATTATAATATGTTATTTTTCGAAATTATCCATGAAAATGTCCGCCGTAAGAGGACTTAGAGGGGACCCCATAGCTAACCCTTCTTTTTGTAGATAGAAATGGTTATTAAATTGAGAATAGTTTTGTTTCATACAGAGATCAGTCACCGCAGTCTACTTTTAGGAAGCGAAACACGTGTCGTATTATCAAAGGTGGTGTCTTTCCTAGTGTAGTGGTGTTGGGAGTAGTGGTGAGTGGTGAAGGAGATGCACGCAATAGGGTAAGGTCGGGAGGTGCTTTTCTAACTAGGTAAGACACATCATTTTATTTTATTAAGTGTATCTTACCTAATTAGTTTTAACATCTTTGATATAATGGATTCCCACAAAGCAATGCCTGATTCTATTAATCAGATTTGGCTATGTCATGCTTACTTAAAGGTATCTACTTGCTCCGGCCTTGTATTACAGGTTGTCCACTTTTCTTTAATATGGTGGGGATGGGAGATGGGTGCCACATGCGTGATACACTTGTGAACAGGTGTTGCTTGTGGGGGCTGATCTTGAAATATTAATATCCTTTTTTTTTCTCTTTTTTAGTGTGTTATAAAACACACCTTGTTACCAATGGGTCTATCATTCTCATTTTTTATTAACTTTGCTCTGTATTATTAACTTTATATAGAGAATACCAGCGGAGTTCCTTTCATTCTTTTTTCTCATTTCAATACAGTAGTAGGATTGGATAAAAAATTTAATTTTAGGTTTATAACTCGTAACAATTAACATATTTCTTTTTATTTCAATGATGATGATACTAGAATATAAAAAATGAATACATACTTGATAAATTCATTGTCTTCTCTTTCTTCCCTTGCTTTCCTTTCTTCTGCTGTTTCTGACTGGTACTGTTTCAACATACCCTCATAGTCAACAGATTGTTGCCGCCTGTTAAGTTCTTTCAGCTCCTCAAGACTTTCCAAAAGTTCTATCTCTTGCCTTGACTGTTCTGTTCTATACTCTGAAAATTTTATCAAGCTATTTGTATGGTTTTATTTGGTAGCTTAAAATAAGGAAAATTAGACTGGACCACATGTTTAAATTTTATAGATAAGGTTCATTTTCTGCCTAGGAGTCTGTGTAGGCAGAATATGTCTATGAGCTACTAAAGGGACTAACAAGCACATGTTTTGCTGGACAAAGTCTCGGATTGAGGGCGACTAAATCTAGTCCAGTTTAATCCTCAGAAGACACAAGTTTGCGCGTTTACCGCTAAAAAGAACCCCTTTGTCATATCTCCTCAATTTCAAGGTACTCCCCTTGTTGCCTCAGCCAGTATCGGAATCCTCGGCGTCGACATATCGAGTGACTAGCAGTTTCGTGGTCACTTGGAAGAGAAGGCCAAATTGGCCTCTAAAAAGCTTGGCGTGCTTATCAGAGCGGGACAGTATTTCATGCCGGCACAACGCCTGCAACTTTACAAGGCGCAGGTTCGGCCTCACATGGTATACTGTTCCCATATCTGGGCTGGGGCTCCCCAGTGCCAGCTCCTTCCACTTGACCGCATCCAGCGCAGAGCGGCTCGAATCGTCGACGACTGAGTCCTTTCCGATCGGCTCGACTCATTGGCGCTGCGAAGAGATGTTGCATCTCTTTGAATTTTCTTTCGCATTTACCACGGGGAGTGCTCTGAGGAATTGTTCAGATTAATCCCAGCCGCCAAATTTCACGAACACACATTGCGGCAGAACTCCCAATACCATCCACACCATCTGGATGATTGGCGGTCCACCACTGTGCGATTTAGAAGATGTTTTCTTCCTCGCACAACTTCCTTGTGGAATAGTTTACCACCAGCGATTTTTCCAGACCGATACGACTTAGGGACCTTCAAGAAAAGAGCCTACTTTTTTTTAAAAGGCCAGCAACGCATCTGTAATTTCCCTGGTGTTGCAGTTGTTCATGGGCGGCGGTAGTCACTTACCATCAGGTGAGCCGCTTGCTCATTTGCCGCCTGTCCTATAAAATAAAAAAAACATGGACTGTTAACTCTTTGGTCAATGTTATAAAAGATATATTTAAAGTGTAATTTAAAAAACATGGTGATTTCTTGTTTTTTTTTGTATTACAAGATGTTTTTTCTACAGACTTCCAAAAAGGAGACGGTACTCAATTCGACTCTATGTTTTTTTTATGTGTGTTACCTCATAACTGTTTACTGGGTGAGCTGATTTCGATGATTCTTTTTTTATTTCAATGCTGGTGCTTCTCGTGTGGTCCCATATGAATTTGATCAAGGTCAGACCAATAGTTTTTGAGTTATTCTTAATAACTTATATTGAAGTCGGCTATACAAAATTTTTAATTTTAAATTATTTTGTGGCTAGTGGCACAATGAAAAGATTAAGAGCATTAAATTGAATATTACTTACAATCAATGGGTGGTAAGCGTGGGCGTTTTCAGATTTTGGCTGCATCGGTTACATAACTGATATTTAGTTTTCATATCGTTATTGAAAACCGTTTTCAAATATCGATATCAGTAGTAATGGTTTACAACCGAAACATAACCTAAAATCAGGGGTATGAAAGTCCTCAGTAGCTTGCTTTACGTTGATACTAGTGCCATCTCACAGTAAAAGTACTATTTATCGCGATATTTTTACATAATTTATTAAAAGATGGCGCCACTGTGGGTATTTATTATTTATACCGAAGCCTAAATCATGCTAGCAAAGTTTTGAAATACGCCGGTATATATATATATATATATATATATATATATATACAGGGTATTTTTGGAACGCTCCCGAAAACTAAGACAGGCGACAGCACCAAGTATACCTTTGATCATGGGTCACAAATAAATTCGATCCTGATGAAAAAAAAAATCATATTTTTACAACGTTTTATTAGCTTTATTCACGCGCCATCATGTCAGTACAGCTAAATGAAACGATAATTTCATAAAAAAATCATGAAAATACTGAAACATAAAACCAGCAGTGGAAATTGAATTGATATCACCTGACTAATGGAGGTTAATGTACGCGCGAACGGTGAAAAAAGAACGCTGGCCTTGAACTTGGGCACTGAGCGATTTATCACATATTGGTACGAAGGGGGCGCGACGGGGGAACAATCCGCCAGTATTACTGTGCCTGCATGCTATTGGTTCCCGCGTTTTGTTCGCTCCAAAAATACAGTCGCATACACAGCTTACTTTGCGACTCGCGACGATGTTTTAAAAAGGAAGGAAAGAAAAATTATTTATATCTATTGTTTTATGACTAAACTAGTGAACGAAAAGGTAAATATGATAGGAGAAGGTGAATGGGGAAAATTGTGCAGTAAAGTTAAAAGTGTTGAGGAAGAATACCGAAAATATTACCATGTGATCGACCTGATGACAGAAGCTCAAGTGAAGATGAAAGTGATGATGAAGTAGCATCCAGTAACACCAACACACCATCAACATCTGGCTTCCATGTGACCCAAGACGTCATAATGGATGGCGTGTCACCCTTAGCTTAAGTTTTCTTGTTACAAACTACTTTATATTTTACGATAGAAATAACAAATAATGCTCAAGTAAACATTATCCATTTTTAATTCCCACCTCTTCCAAAGTTCTAAGTAGCTAATAAAACACCTATTATGATTCTACATTAAAACAATTAATTACTATAATATTATAAAACAATAGCCCAATACCATGTAGTACTTTAGAACGCGACTGTACCCACACTCCCTTCTCTGTCGACCTGTATCTAGCTCGGTACGAAACAATGCTGCGGTCTTAAGAAAAAAGGGCGCATCTAACAATTTTTGAATAAATGAGTTAAATATACCATTCGATTCATGATAAGAAGGCGCATCTACTAAATTTTTTTAATATTCACAAATATCAATATTTTAGAAATTATCGTAAGAATTTTAGACGTAACTCTTGATCACAGATGACTTTTTTAGTAGAAAAGACTTATACAAATTATGGAGTGTAGAGTACAAGGAGAACCATCTTATAAGGGGCGAAAGTTGAAAAAGTGTCCTACTATTTACTGAAAATAGAGGTTCCAAAACCTACCACAATAGCGCTGGCGTTTGAAAAACTACGATATGAAGATAGCTGTTATGGACGGAGTGAAGTCAGCTGAATTCAAATATTTAAAAAATTTCATGACTAGAGTAGTTAGTAAAATGCCAGTACACAAAATCTCAACTATTTACGTAGTACAAAACCAAGCGGATTAATCGGTCCTTGTTTATTTCTCCATCTTACTCTAATTACTTTTGGCGCTTTTTTTAATTTATCCTATACTACTGCAGCGCCACCCTTATTCGACACGTTTTTAGGGACACTTTTCATAGTATAGAGATGGTCCTTCTTCTCTCTACACTCCACAATACAAATTCGACATAAAAGAAAAGACTTATTTAACCAGTTGCTACGTCATATTTAACAATATTTGCATCGATTACTTAAATTTCGATTATTCTTGTCTTATTATTCTATATCTTATTATTAAGAGCTTATATCTTATTATTAAGAGCTGGTGTTTTACATGTCGTCCCATATAAATTTGATCGAGGTCAGACCAATAGTTTTTGAGTTATCCTTAATTATTTATATTGAAGTCGGTTGTAAAAATTTTTAATTTTTAATTATTATCGTAGTAAGTCTGGTATGATATCCCCTTTAAAATCATAACTCAAGAGTTGCGGGTTGTTATTTTATGTGTCTCACTACCAATGCTTTTCTAATATTTACTAATAATAAAAAAAGGAGTAAATTACTATTAGCGTCCTTTCAACTTCAAATGACCTTTCCAAAATATGTAAAAATGTTAAATGAATGGCAGTTTTTTTATTTATTACGTTGGAACGACGCAAAATGGTTATATGCGTCTTTCATTCGATGTTTTTATGTGGCCAGGTGTATTTTTTAAACTAAAATGAAAAAGAACATTCGTTTTATTTAAATAAATAAACAAATTATCAAAAAAATAAGTTCGTCTTTAAAATCTTCAAGTCTCTACGTATTTCAATTTACATATTGATACCTTTTAATATACTTTAGACACAGCAGGGTCTGAAAAATTCATCTATTTATTTTTTTATTTCGATTTTACGTTTTTGTTAGTTGCGTCCTTCTTTATTATGACGGCAGAATGCCTAACCCTGTCGCCTCACGCTTGTGACGCAGTAAGTTTCAGCCTTGGCGGGGTTCGTTCGTTTTAGTTTTGGAGACAGTTCCGTGTTGATTTTGTACACGCGTGCGCGAGCGACAGTTCAATCGTTTTGTTTAATAAATTTACTTGTGATTACGTGTTGATATTATTGTTGTTGTTACGTTTTTGGATTCTTTTTTGTTTTAATAATGCCTAACGCGTACGTTTATAGTGCTCAACATGTTAGGTATCCGAACCTAGGTACACGAAGTATCGCTAAATAAATTGTTAAGACGTCGGGATGTAACAAGTGTGTCATACTTTGCAGTGCACAAAGTGTTGAAGCGTAACCGGATGCGCCCATACAAATTGCACAAACTGCAAGCTTTAGTTCCCGGCGATCACGACCGCCGACGAGTTTTCTGCCGTTAGTTATTAAACTAGCAACAACGTGTGCCTGGTTCCATTAAGCACATTATCTGGACGGATGAGTCGACATTTACCAGAAACGGCCTGTGGAACCGAAGAAATACACACGTGTATTCAGAGGTTAACCCGCACGCTGTTCGACAAACCGGGCACCAAACCCGATGGTCGGTTAACGTATGGGCAGGTATTAAGGATCGCATACTGGGACCAGTGTTTCTGCCACAGCGACTGAACGGACAGCGATACCTAAACTTTATAAGTGAACAGTTGGTTGACATTTTAGAGGACCTATCGTTGGCTGAATATCGCCGACCATGGTTCCAGCATGATGGTGCACCTCCACATGTCGTGAGGTTCGTCTGTGAGCGCCTCACCGAATTATTTGATGATCGCTGGATTTGGCGGACTGGGACCACTCGGTTGGCCACCTCGCTCGCCAGATCTGACCCCGTTAGACTTCTTTCTGTGGGGGTATGTGAAAGAAAGGGTTTTTAATCGTGAGTGTGATAGTGCTGACGAAACTACAAAAGGATCGTGGATGTTTTCGGCAAACTACATACGGACTGTGTCGAAGACTACACGATGATGCCCCGCCTGCATGAGGAGATGCAACACCGAGCCCAAATCTGCCTTGAAATGAATGGAGCACAATTTGAGCCGCATCTCATAAGACCACGGAGGATTTAGAGCGGTAAGCTGTTTCATAAGTATTTTTTTTAAATAACTTAGTACTGGACTAATCTGAATAGGTACATAACTGAATACATGAGAATAATAAACATACCTACACGATGAATAAAAACGCATGACTCCAATCTTGGTTACATTTCATTAATTTGAGTATTTTTTCATTAGCGGGGAATCGAACCAGTTATTTGGGTTATTTAACCTGTAAATTCGTATTAAAGTGGCTACGTGGAGGCAAGTACAGTGGCAAAATAGTAGGTTAAGTAGATAAGTTAGGTATTTAGACAAGTGTTGTAAATTATTAGGTAATGTGGTATGGCCCGCTAGTTGCGGGCCGCGCGAATTTGACCTTGACCTCAAGTCAGCTGATATCAATTCAGTAATTCCACTGCTGGTTTTATGTTTCAGTATTTTCATGATTTTTTTATGAAATTATCGTTTCATTTAGCTGTACTAACATGATAGCGCGTGAATAAAGCTAATAAAACGTTGTAAAAAGATGATTTTTTTTTCATCAGGATCGAATTTATGTGTTACCCATGATCAAAGGTATACTTGGTGCTGTCGCCTGTCTTAGTTTTCGGGAGCGTTCCAAAAATACCCTGTATATATATAGATATATATAGAATAATTCATTGTAATTTTTTTTTCAAACAAACAATAAATATTTACATAAAACAAATTAGTTAATATTTAAATAAAATTAAATTGATTAAAATTAAATTAAAATGCTCGTGGAAACTGTCCATGCGGTCGGAGCTAAGTTCTGCAAGACCCGCCGCAGAAGAACACAAAAACTCTCCGATCACACTCTTAATCTCATGGCTGTTAGACGGGAGATGAAGCTACATTCTTCAACAGACTTGACAGCATACAGGCATCTGAACAGACAGATCTCCAAATGCATGCGGCGGGACTTACGCAACTTCAATACAGCTCGTATTGAAGAAGCAATCGAGCGGAACTAAGGCTCCAAAGTCTTTGCCAGAGATCTGTCTGCCAGAAAGAGCCACCTGTCAAAGCTGAAGATAGAATGTGGCAGCATCGTTTCCGGGACACCTGAGATTTTGAGTGAGATTGAGAGGTTCTATGGGCAGCTGTACACGTCATCGTTGGAGCCACACGCAAATGTGAGTAACGATCCAAGAGCGAGTCTCATCCGACACTATTCCGAAGATATCCCGGACGTCAGTCTGAGCGAGATTAGAATGGCTCTCCAGCACCTTAAAAACGGTAAGGCCCCAGGCGAGGATGGAATTACAGCGGAGCTTCTGAAAGCGGGTGGAAGACCGGTACTTGAAGTCCTTCAGAAGCTCTTTAATTCCGTCCTCCATGGTGGCATTACACCGGAGGCGTGGAGCAGAAGTGCGGTGGTCTTGTTCTTCAAGAAAGGTGACAACGCTCTCTTGAAGAACTACAGACCGATTTCCCTTCTGAGCCGCGTCTACGTGCTGTTTTCGAGAGTCATTACGAATCGTCTCGCGCGCAGACTTGACGACTTCCAGCCTCCCGAACAAGCCGGTTTCCGAAAGGGCTTTAGCACCATAGACCACATACATACCCTTCGGCAAGTTGTACAGAAGTCCGAAGAGTACAATTTGCCACTATGTCTGGCGTATGTGGACTATGAGAAAGCCTTTGATTCCGTCGAAATTTGGGCGGTGCTGCAGTCCCTTCAGCGGTGCCAAGTTGACTGTCGGTATATCGAAGTGTTGAAGTGCTTGTACAGTAGGGCTACGATGGCTATCCGAGTACAGAACCAGAGTACGAAACCTATCCAATTGCAGAGAGGTGTAAGACAGGGTGACGTCATATCCCCAAAACTCTTCACCGCTGCATTGGAAGACGTTTTCAAGCTTCTGGACTGGAAAGGATACGGTATCAACATCAATGGCGAGTACATCACTCACCTTCGATTTGCCGACGATATAGTCCTTATGGCAAAATTGCTGGAGGACCTAAGCACTATGCTCAATGACCTCGATAGTGTTTCCCAACGGATAGGTCTTAAGATGAACATGGACAAAACAAAGATCATGTTCAATGTCCATGTCACACCTATGCCGGTAGTTGTTGGGAGCACTAAGCTCGAAGTTGTTGACGAGTATGATTACCTGGGACAAATAGTCCGACTAGGTAAGTCCAACTTCGACCGAGAGGTCAATCGACGGATTCAACTCGGCTGGGCAGCGTTCGGGAAGCTACGACACATCTTCTCGTCAGACATACCTCAAAACCTGAAAACGAAATTGTACAACCAGTGCGTGTTGCCAGTGATGACTTATGGAACTGAGACGTGGTCCTTCACTGCTGGCCGTATGAGGAAGCTCAAGGTCGCTCAGCGAGCTATGGAGAGGGCTATGCTCGGAGTTTCTCTGCGTGATAAACTTAGGAATGAGGATATCCGCAGTAGAACCAGAGTAACCGACATAGCCCAACGGATTAGTAAGCTGAAGTGGCAATGGGCCGGCCATATAGCTCGAAGAACCGACAACCGATGGGGAAGAAAGGTTCTCGAGTGGCAGCCTCGTACCGGTAGGCGAAGTGTAGGGCGTCCCCCCACGAGATGGAGTGACGACCTGGTAAGACATGCAGGAAGTCGATGGATGCAGGTGGCTCAGGACCGTGCTTTGTGGCATTCTTTGGGGGAGGCCTATGTTCAGCAGTGGACTTGTGAAGGGCTGTAATGATGATGATGATGAAATTGATTTCCTTTTAATTTTATTGAAATATGTACGAAATAATACTGAACCTAGGTGATGCGCCCTCTAGTGTAATTTTCAGTAATTTATAATCCCTACGCCATCTATAAAAGCGCAGAAGAAACTTTCCTTGTTTCGTTACCTAATTATTTTTCAGAGTGGCTCAACTATGCCTGAAAACTGTAGAACGAGTGCAACATTTATTTTACGAATTACTTCGATTATTTTAGTTTAAAAGTCAGAGGCTCTAATATAATCTTAGATGTAATATTTAGACATGTATGTTAATATATAATTTATGATTGTTATGGAGTAATATAGTATTATAAATGTCTAAAATTACATTCTTTCTATTCTCATTTATTTCTATAATGTTTATACCCATATTTTTTTAAAGTGAGACGTAGGATCAGAGTTTGATTTCGAAGTCTATAATTAAACTGTATTCATAAGTAGTAAACATAATTTATATATATATAAATAGAAAATTATTATAGGTACATAGTTTATTTATTATTATTATATTAATAATCATTATTTTTTATAATGATTATTTAAGTTGGCGATTTACCTTCATATACTTAACTAGGCTTAGGACTGACAGGAAAGTTTTAAAACAAATGTACAAAATGCAAACAAATATGTACTACAAATAAATGCACAAACGCAACGTCAAAAATTAATAATTTTACAGATAGTTTCATAGTGAACGGCACATCACCCCACCATTGTCAAGCGTGTAATTGTTACGTTTGAAAAAAAAATCAAATTCTAACTTTCACATAAATAAAAGTTGCCTAAACCAAATATAATGTGATGAAACAAATCTAAGTCTAGTGCCTAATGTCCTAAAGATCATTTAAATCTGACAACTCTCACAACTATACAAACTTAAAAAATTAGGCAATTTTAACCGTTTAAAATTCGACCTTATTGTTATGAGTCTTATAATTATATTTCACTATGTGCACCGTTTTGTGATAACAACCAAAACATCGCAACCAAATCCATATTCGCTTTATCTCTTTCATACGTATTTATGATACTGTCGCTAGAACGAGAAACAACGAATATCAAAGGACATCGGTTAGTTTTGGGCCGTTTTCGGTTATTGGCATATCGTTTTGCATTTTACGTTTCGTACATTGGTTAGTTTTTATTTATTTATTTATTTGTGTAAGTTGGTTTTGGGTTTTGGTTGGATATGTGATAACGGTTATGTTCTTAGGTTTTTCGATATGATATGATATTTGATAACATAACGTTATTAGTTACGTTTTGATATATCGCTCTCATGCCTAATGGGTGGACATTTTGCTATTTTTACTCATGGCAATATGGTTCATCATATTACTTCTATTTAAATATAAGGACCATTTTGTTTCTAATAATTATGATAGAAACATTTCTCTTCCTCCACTCTTAATAGAGATTGTGTTCACCTGAACACAAACCTCTACCATTGCAAAAAAAGAATTGCCTTAATTGACACATTTGGTAGGTGGATTGGAGATTGCAGTAATCTTGCATCTTTGATATGGCTTGTAGTCGCGAGTTTAACACTTTCACTGTCCTGTTTCCTGACACAATAGTAAAACAAAAGCAATGCGCCATATGTGGCTCATGAGACAATGAATGGGTTAATATATTTTATGTGACATATATGAGACGGTTAAAGCATAATCTATTGGAGGCCATGACTGCTTATAGGACTTTTTCATAAAAAGTGATTTTACAACAGCCATAGGACAAAATGAGTTTCTCACAAGCCAAAGCCAAGCTTAAGCAGCACATTCTCTTTTAAACAAACAGTCTTTTTATAGTAACTTGAATGAAACACAAACCCTTATAATATGTGGGTAAAAGAAATATAGATTTTGTATAGGAGATGACTGTTAAAATGCTTTTGACATGGAATATTAAGTGTAGGGAAAATATATAAGCAAAAATGGATAGAAATCATTACCTAAAAGTTTCATAGGGTTGTTAGCTTCTTCCTCTTTCTGCTCCTCTTCTTCTCTTTTTGCCTGTTCTTCTGCTAGTTTCAGGGCCATGAAATTTCTTGTAGCCCCAGCTTCAATTTCATAGTCAGTGTTTTTTGGGTCTGTTTTAAATGATATCTCTTGCAGACATCTTGTACACTGAAAAGTTAATTTATAATTCGAGTTTTAATAGTTGAAAGCCTTGAAAAGATCACAAAATATTTAAAAATCTATTTAATTAACTAAGTCAGTTGTAGAGCAACCTTTCATAGAACTAAATTAGTTTCTATAAACCAAGTTATTGATATTTAAAAAGTTTACATTTTTATTAATATTTTTTTTTTAATTTACCAAGTATCGGCAGTTCAGAAATAGGTCTAAAATTAGTCAAGACCAATGGACTTAGTATATAGTCATGGTAGCCCAAGAGATAAGCACTTGCCTTAAATGTATTTTTTTTATAGGAGGGGGCAAACAAGCATGTGGCAAATGTGGGTAAATTTAATTTGCTTTTGTTGTGCATAATATTTAATGTGTCACATCACATTTTATTTATTTTATATATTTATTTAAAATAGAAGTTTTAAATGCTGATTTAGCATATACACAACTGGTATAGAAATCATTGTGGCGAAAAGACATGTAGTCTAAGAAATTGTAAATATTTGGAATACATTTGAATTATTCTAACATTTGAGTCACATTGGATCAGTGCAATGGATTTCTCACACCCTGCTTAATAAAGAGAATGAGTCTTTCACAACCTGCAAATGGCAGTCTTAGGCTCATTTCCAATGGAGTAGAGCTCCATTGCAATTGTATTAGGGCTGCAGCATAAATTTTGTTGGCTGTTTGGCTTGAGTAGTGAAGGATCATGCTTTCACAGAATAACATTACAAAATAGCAGCATAATGTTGCTGTTTTGTATGGTTAGTGTAGAAACTCGGAGACTCTTTTTACCAATAAAGAGTCCAAAGAGGTGCCAATTCATTTAGTTTTGATTCTTAATCAAAGATAGATGTACATGTCGATGCATATTTACTACATGATACATCATTCACTTACCATCATCTGTCACTCAAACTTTTTCAAAAAAATGCACTTTACCCAAATCCAACACATTGAGGATGGGAAGCAGCATCACCAGTGCCAGGGAATTGGTGCTACACTGACCACACGGCTGTATATGTATGATAAACACCATTGTTGTGTGATGATAGCTGATAATCCATCATTTGATTTTGTCCTGTGGGTTTCAGGTGGGTGGGTGACTATGAGATATGCCAGAAAGATATTATCGCTTCCAATAGATGACAGTTTAACATCTTGTTTGCACATACCAAGATTGTCAATCTACCTGTCAAGCATGACAATTAAGGCTAATCCTCCCTATAATGGGAGAAGCCCACGTCCAGCTGTGAACTTTTACAGGTTGTAGTTTGAGAGAGGCTATTAAACAAGAATAAGTTCAAATAGTAGGCATATATAATAGTATATAATAGTAGTAATATAATAGTAGGTAGTATATTATTTGCATAATAAAGGGCAATGAAATTACAGTATGAAGCATAAATGTTACTCGTTATTGTATTCTTCAACAAAGATAACCATAAGATGCATAAAATGAAAAGTTTAGTGCATAATGCATATGTAACAGGATTAGGAATTGTTCTAACATTTATTGAATGATTGCACTTACTTTAATGTAGAATCTGTATATTCTTATACCTAGATAATCTTCATTTTCCACGTCCTCTTTACGAGCATTGAACTTCTTTCCCTTGTAGATATATTCGCCACACGTAGCACAACGCATGTTGAACGGTGCCATTAAACGTACAGTATATTGGCGATTTTTTGCCAATTTCATGCGAGGAATCTTAGATGGATCGAAGTCCGGGGGGTAATATTTCTGAAAAATTTATTTATAAATTAATAATTTGTTGTTTTAAATGGTAATTATAGGCCAAACGAATAACACTTACATTTAAAACTTTTCTTTCAGACATTTTTAAGCAGATAAAATATTACAATATTAAATAAACTATACACAAGCCCAAACAATGATTATGATTACGATTTCAAATAGGATTGTTATTCTTCTTCTATTAAAGTTTTAACAATATACGATTGTTGAGTTTACTAATTTACTGTAAATCCTAGTAAATCCCAATCCTAATCCCAAACAAATTGTCATTTGTCAAATCAAATGTCAAATGGTCAAATGTACGATTGTCAATTGTCAATTTTTGTTTGAAGGCAAAAGGATATGATGTACATACAGCCTAAGCTGAGGTATTGCTTTCACATTGTAAGGTGTCTAGGGGATCTTGACCGCAACTCATGCATTAGGGCACCAGGCGGAAGTTGATGATGATAGTATCTTAAGACGCCAAAAATGGATAAAATAAAATAAGGTTTATATGTGTTTCATAATCATAACACATGTCTCATAATTTCCTTAGAGTAATGATATACGTATGCATAGAAAGAACCTATAATTCTATATAAATTAAGTCAACATACTTGCCTCACTTTTCCTAATTTAATTTTCAAATAAGGCAAAAATATACAAATCTATTGAAAGATGTTGCGTGTAATTCATGGGTGGACATAGAAATGTCAAGTGGTCATCTTTGGTCTCTTTATACCTAATGTAATTTAAAGTTCGTAAAATTCTAATTGTACGTATATATATTGTTGAAATAGGCATAATATTCTAGAAACTTATTGACTTTCTATATTACGAGGACTAAATGAATGTTTAACAATAAATTCTTTACAAAATTCTTTTATTTTTTATTTTGTTGGACCTTTTTAAACCTCTTGAATGAACCATACATACCCAATGGTGAACTCCGGGACAAAACCATTGCTATAGTTACAAAGACGTAGATAGACTGACGTCGATTTTTGTTTTATATGAGGTATAAAGCTTGGGTCTAAGTCATAAGTATTAATTGATACATTTATTTATTGTATGGCTTTATATATAAATGATACATAAATAGAATTAGGCCTACCATAGATAGGGTATAGAATTTTTATCGATATAAATTGTCATACTGTCCATTATTAGTAACTATGTCCATTACGAGACTGAAAATTTCGGGAATCAAGGAAGTGACACAACATTACTATTTAAAAATATATTTATTGCTTTTCGAAGTATTCTCCGCGAAATTTGACACATTTTTCCATACGATGGAACCAATCATTGAAGCAACCATTCCATTCGGAAGTTGGGGTCTCCAAAATGGCCGTTTTGTAGGCGTCCACAGCTTCTTCAGGTGATGAAAATCTCTGTCCACGCAATTTATTCTTTATTTTTGGGGAAAGTATAGAAATCAATAGGGCTTAGGTCGGGGCTGTACGGCGGATGGTCTAATAATTCTATGTTTTCTTGCTCTAAAAACTCTTTCGTTCTGTGTGCGGTGTGAGAACTCGCATTGTCGTGATGGAGATGATGCGGCGGTTGCAGTTCTCTATCACAGAACACTAATACCCTTTGCCCCTAGTTCTCTTTATGGAGTTATGTCTAACTTGCGGATGTTGAAATTAAACTCCAGATGTCACCAGTAGTAAAACAATTTTATTGTATAATAATTCTCAGGCCATATACAGTTTGCCGTGAACGAAAAGATAACGAGTTGTACTTCGACACTAGTGACCTCTCTTGACATTTTTCAGTACTAAATACTAAGGTTAGAGTAGAACTATTAGAACTGAAATGTTTTAAACATCCCGCCCACCAAAGGACTCCGTTCTTTCACAAAATAAATCTATACAAACCAAATAAGGTCTATAAAGGAACGCAACAATATAGAAACTCTTAATAGAAACTATAGAAAATAATTAGGCTCTGGGCTTACATACACCGCCCACCATGAGATCACACTCAAAGTAAAGGAATAAATTAAATTACTAAAAAAAGAAAAAAAAATACACATAAATTTGTACACAACCTTAAAAAAAAACCCCAAAACTAACATCAAACTAACCCTGTAGTTACAACTTAAACAAAATTTTAAGCTTAGTCTACAGACTTATGTAAAAAATATAATTTCTTACACGGCCGTTTACAGTATCCGTTCTTAGTTTTAAGCGTTACAACATGTGTAAGCTGATCTTTACCGACATGTTTTTCAACAATTCTACCTAACAACCATTTTGCAGGGGGTAAGTTATGATCTTTAATTATAACAACATCATTAATCTCTGGCTCAGTTTTTTTCAGTGTCCATTTATATCGTTGATTTAAAGATACTAAATATTCTTTAGACCACTTTTTCCAAAAATCGTTAACCATTTTTGAGTATATTTCCATCTCTGAAGATCAGTTACATTTTTACTAGTACAATATTCATCGGGTATTACAATAAGTGGCTCCCCAACTAAAAAATGACCAGGCGTTAATGGTAAGGGATCATCAGGATTATCACTGAGATAAGAAAGTGGACGAGAATTGAGACATGCCTCAATTTGAGTTAAGACAGTCGAAAGCTCTTCATATGTGAGCGTAGAATCTCCTATCACTCGCTTTAAATGCGTTTTAGTGGATCGAACTCCGGCCTTCCACAAGCCTCCGAAGTTGGGAGCATGTGGAGGTATGAAATTCCATGTCGTACCTTCGTTAGCAAGTAAGTGGCTAATTTCGTCCGGCACCTGCGATACAGCGCGATTAAAACTCTCCCTCAACTCTTTATCGGCGCCGACGAAATTAGTACCATTGTCGCTGAACAAGGTCTTACAATGTCCTCTCCTTGAAACAGATCTGCGGAAGGCTGCGATAAAGCCTTTAGCAGTCATATCGGTCACTGCTTCTAAATGTACCGCCTTTGAAAATATGCAGATAAAAACGCAGATATAGCCTTTGTAAGACTTTGCTCCTCGTCCAGGTGAAAAACGAATATTAATATGACCCGTAATATCAACTCCTGAGATCTTGAAGGGTCTCGTTATTTTTAAACGATCCTCGGGAATTTGGCCCATCAGCTGATTGTTGTTTTGTTTCGAATACCTTATGCACTTCACACAGGTTCTATACTGCTTCTTCACCAGGTCACGCGCTCGAATGATCCAGTATTTTGATCTTAAGAAATTAAGCATCAACTGTGGCCCGCCATGAAGCGTTGTAAGGTGAGCATCCGCAACTATGAGTCTTGTAAGATGACTCTCACTAGGCATAATTATTGGATGACGAGTGTCATAGCCAACCTTGGCTTCATTAATGCGTCCACCTACTCGTAACACACCATTCTCATCGAGAATCGGGTTCAGAGTATCTAAACGGCTCCTCTTGGGGATCCAGTTGTGGGCTTTTAAGTGCTTGATCTTTTCCTCAAAATATAAACTCTGTGTCTCCTTTATACAATGTCTCATCACCGTGCTCATTTCGTCGGCTGTTACGTTCTTCGATAAGGTGAGTCTTTGTTTCTTTGGTAGTTTTAAATTCAAAAATCTTTTGCAGTAGGACATCACGCGTAACAACCTTGGTAACGAAAAAAATCTCGTCCAAAGGAAAACGTCTTTTGGTTGTATCGTAGTCACCAAAGATTTGACAGCCTTTTCTTCTTCTGCAATCTCAGATTCTTGACAGCCTTGACTCTCATACATTTTGTTGTCCCTTAGCCATGTGGGTCCGTGCCACCACAACTAGGCATAAACGACCTATGGCAAACAAATACTAGCATACCATTCTGCATTAACCGTTCTTTGTCCCTCAAGAGGAATAGTCGTAACATGGCCGGTTTTGGAGACAAACGTGGCCACCATTTTTTTTGCAACACTCCGTGAACGAACAATTTTTGTTGGCTTTAACTCATTTTCGAACACCCAAACTCGTGACTGGTTTTTTGTTTCGGGTTCGTACGCGTATATCCAGGATTCGTCACCTGATACGATGTTGTATACAGCATTTGAGGATCCTGCGTGGAATCTTTCGAGAGTTCTGACGCACCAACTGACGCGAGCCGCTTTTTGCTCTTCACAGAGCGAATGCGGTATCCATCGGGAAAACAACTTTTTTACACCTAATTGTTCATGCAAGATTATTTGTATTTGACTCATGCCAATGTCTAAAGTTGCCTGAATTTCGCGGTATGTCACATGTCGATCTTCCTCAATCAACTTACGCACAGCATCAACGTTTTCTTGGGTGACTGCAGTTTTTGGACGACCTTGACGGGGATCATCACTGAGCTTGACACGTCCACGTTGAAATTCAGCAAACCAGCGATAAATTGTGGTTTTGGATGGGGCTTCATCACGAAATGCAGAAATCATCCGGTCAACACACTGTTTTTGTGTTAAACCACTTCGAAAGTCATAATAAATCATCGCTCTTGAATTTTCTCGAGTCAATTCCATTTTCTCAACGACTAAACAAGTTTGACAAAACCTTGTGACAAGACCGAGAATCTTTTTTTAAATAAATAAATGGTATTCGATTTTTAAAACTTACGAGTTTTCAATTAAAAAGCTACTTTTAGTGCAGCCTATGTATTAGTTCCGTGGACGCTCAATTTTCATATCAGCGCCAAAATGGTGCAAATCAAATCGCCTCATTATGTCACGGTGTATAGCCAGGTCAGCGTACTTGTATAATATAATAGTGGACAGAGTAACGGAATGGAAAAACGGCACAACCTTGTAAAATTGTGAGAATAATATCTTATTTTGTACCATGTAAAACGTCATATGCAATAAGAGTTTTGCTCTTATTTAAGGATTCCCTCTATGCTAGTGATTACTTTGAGATTTCTCCTCTTCGCTCCACCAATTACGAATCAACGCCTTTCCTACTCCTACTTTACAAGACATGACAACTTTGATTTATAATGATTTCGTTCACAATGTTAGCAACAATCGACATCGATATTGTTCGCGCAAAACACTGTTGTCGGAGTCGACACCAGATGTCACTCGGCTCGGCGCGATTCCGGTTTAAAGTTCGGCTGGGCGTGGCACGAGCGCGCGAGTCGCGAGAGAAAAGTCAGTCGTCCATAAT